TGGTCCATACTGGCAATGGTGATATTATAGAATGTGGTCAGCTGCTGTTAGAAGCCAGATTTTTACATAGCAGACAAAGTTCAGGATTGCCATAGTAGTGTTCTCATAAGCAGAGTTTATGAATGAAATGAAGTGATAGAGCCAGATAGAGGGTTTTAGATTTGTTAGGCACTGGTTAATCTTTTGGAAGAAGCAAGACTTGTACAATTGAGCTATGGGCTGAATTTGAGCAAAATGGAATCAGACTGCTGGTACATAGTTATCAAAAAAGTGGCAGAATAGCTTTTAAACTGATCCCTGCAGGAAACCCAAGAGATCTAGGGCAGCATCTGGTTCAGAAGCTTCTAGATGCTTCAGAATCTAGCCTAAGTTGGAATTAGTTAATGGGTGGACAAGATAGTCAGGAGATATAAAGATCATGAAAAAGTATCCAGCCAACATTGAAATAATGTTGGCTGGATGCTTGTACTATGTATTCAGTTTTCTTATGTCAATGCTGTAAATCTATTGATGAAGACAGTGCTTAGTTACAAACAAGAGCAAAGATATAGCAGGTATAAAAGATGGTAAAACTGAAAAAAATCAGGGATATGACTTTATAGAAAGGGCAGGGAAGTGGGCACTGGGAGAATTGTTGCTCTGCATATCAAAAAGTGTATAAATCTAACATTCTAGAAAACACTGGAAGACCAGATTTGTCCACAGAATCAATAAGGATAACAATAGCCACAAATGCAAATTAGATCTAAGTATCTGCTATTCCCAACCTGAACAAAATGCTACTGGTGACTTTGAAATTGTGCAAAATCAGAGACATGAAGAGGAGGAGTTGTAATAGTAATGAGTGACTCCAATGACCCTCACAAAGTGGGTACATTCATGCTCAAGCATGTTAAAGAAAACCCAGTCTCTAGGTACCATACATGATTGTATGTTGTACAATTATTATTATTGTAATAATAATTGTGCATTAAAATAACTGCTCTTGGAACCAACACAGAGGGACACGTTGATTTAATCCTAAGCGATTACCATGATTTGGTGAGAGATGTGTTGTGGATCTGATAGGAAACAGTGAGTGTTAACGTATTTAACATACATACAACTTGGAATTTGCCAGAAAGATCCAAAGTTGTACATTTGTCTATATAAGGGAAAACTTCTCAGAACTGAGGGGACTGATGAAGACAACGGAAAGGGAAAAGTCATGAAAGCAAAATCTATTCATGATGCCTAGCGGTTACATAAAAAGATGCTAATTGAAGCTCAGCTGGAATGCCTACCGTATGTAAGAAAGGATCAGCAAAGTCAAGGAAGAGACTAACATGGCTCTCCAATAGTGTCCAGGAAACTGTAAAAATTAACAAGGCTTCTGTCAAGAAACAAACAAACAAAGTATATGATGAAGTAAGGCAAAAAGAAAAAAGTGAGGACTGTATGGTACAATATGCTTTAAATATAACTGAAGCAGAAAACCAGCCAGAGAATAGTTGGACTATTATACAATAAGGGAGTGATACGGGATGCTCATGAATGATATGGAGACTGTACAGACATCTTATAGGGCATTTTTAAGAGAATACTCAATAAGAAACCACTGAGCTCTAGTGGCGTTCACCCAAAAGTTTTTTTAAAGTACACAACTAGGAAACTGCTGACATCCTAGATAGTGTTTCTCAATCTCAGCAACTTTAAGAAGTGTTGACTTTAACTCCCAGAATTCCCCAACGAGCATGTATGAGATGTTACTTGACCCTAAATTTGGGTGCAATTACAGGACTGGAAGGTGGTCCCATGTAATACAAATTTTCTTAATGGAAAAAGTGGAATCCTTCAAGGATTTTTTAACTTCAAATTTAACTATTTATTTTTTGATAATGTTTTCATTTAAATAATCACTTTTTATCTTTTTATGGTTTTTTACATCCATTTGTTGTTTCATTTGGTGTACACTGCTCAGAGTTGTTTTATGTGAGATGGGTGGCTATATAAATGTGACAAATAAATAAATAACTTGTTCACAAATTACCTTGACTTAGGGGTAAGCACAACCTGGCCAAGTTTATGGATACCAATTATTCCAGGTGATAAAACCCCAGCAGGATTGTGAAGAGATCCAGAACAATTGTGAAGAGGTCTTTATTCTATATTAATCATTATCCAAATGACAAATTCAGTTTCATTCCATTTAAGCTAGTGTTGCACACTGCGGCAAACTCCCTTGCTTCACATATGTAACTGATGGGGAGAAAAAAAGAAAAGAAGAGAGAGAAAGAGAAAAAGAGAAAGAGGGAAAGAGAAAGGGAAGAAAAGAAAGAAATATCCTGAAGTCATAGTGGATAGCTCAGTGAAGGTATTAATTCAGGGAGGTAGCTATGAAAAGGGCAAATTCCATGCTAGAGATCTTTAGGAAAGAGATTGAAAATTAGGTTTGTAAAGCAAATTGTATTTGAAAGGGAAAATATGATTTAGAGTGCACATTGATATGTGCGTAGTACATGTTGGCACTTTCTTAAACCAAATGCTTACTTTTCTGGGATAACAAGGAAGTAGCTGAGGAGCCAGGAAGACATAGTTTTGGCTTGCAGAGATCAATATTTTGTGGCCAGTTTTTGCTTCTCTGTTCACTTTGTATTTCACGTTAACATTTCTTTTACTAGAAAACAAGAAATTGTGCTGTAACTGCCAGTTTGGTCTAGTGGTTAAGGCACCAGGCTAGAAAGCAGGAGACTGTGAGTTCTAGTCCCACCTTAGGCGTGTAAGCCGGCTGGGTGACTTTTGGCCAGTCACTCTCTCAGCCCAACTCACCTCACAGGATGGTTGTTGTGGGGAAAACAGGAGGAGGAAGGAGTATTAGGTATGTTCGCCACCTTGAGTTATTTATAAAAATAAAAAAGGCAGGATAAAAAAAATTCTAAATCTAACCTAATCTAACTGGCACCATGGTGGGCAAAATGCTATGTAGGAAATTTAACTAAATTTCCAAAATGCTAGCATTCTCATTTACTTAAATAAATGGCTATATGCACGATTATTGCACAGCTGATCTACCAAAGATCCATAAACAGTCCTGCAGCATTAATACATGCGGATGTGATTGCACGACATCCACACTTTATGAAGACAGGCAAATGTCATAGATTAAAACTACTTTTTTGAACATTAAATTTACAAAGCAATATGGCTCATATGACTTTAATAATGGTTCATTCCTATCACTTTATCTAATCAATTTTTCCTCTCATGCATAAAAAGTAAAATGTCTAAAAAAAAAGTACTAAAACATGAAATTCTATACCTAAATTACAAACTACTATAGCATAGCCTTGTCATTAAAGACCAATCCAATATAGTTCTTACAGTGTTGCCACAAAATGGAGCAGTGGTTTAGAGAAACTATCTTGATTTTGAAAACACAGTGGAATATAAAAGATGAATCTGATTCCAAAGGTGAATCTGATTCCATATTCCAAAATATGATAATCTGGTTCAATCATTTGGATTGTACTAGAACGCTGGTGCTGGTACAACATTCCCCCACACTGAAAGTAGCCTTCTTCAAGAAATGAAACCTTGTATTAGCCTTGTCTTCTCTCTGGTCTGAAGCATCTAAAAAATATAGTCCATTTGCTTACACTCCAAAAAGGTATAGAGTGTCCAGAGAACTCTAGCACATAATCTTTCTACACATATGCCACAAGATTATCTAGATGGTTTTACTGTACCAAATACGTTTGAATTATTGTTTAGTATGCTTCCATTTTTTTCAATAAAATGCAACAGAGCTAACACAAAATCTATCCTTTTGAATGTATTACAATTTGAAATAAAGATATGACCAAAATGGAAGTATTTAAATTATTTAATATAAGAAAGATTCCAGCATATTTTTCTTATAAAGCTCAGCTTGATTTTATGCTGAAAGCTAAGCAATAGAATGTAAAATAGTAAGCATCATGACAATTTCCTTTTGTACTGTACTTCCAGACAGCCTGAAACCCAGCAGACAATGTAGCTGTTGCTTAACAAACACAGTATTCTACATTGTATGCCAGGTCAAGGCCCAAAGGCTGGATCATTTTCATCATCATACTGGGTGTACTTTAAGTAGGTACACTAGAACCAATGGAGCCATTCCAATATTATCTTCAGATACCATTTTACTACTATTATTAGAAACAGATGATACAATGCAGTCCACCACGAAACAATGCCCACTTCCCATTTTCTAATGTCTTTCTGCATAGCTGGTCTGCACAGGCATAGGGGGACTCACTCTGATCTTCTAGGATGCTCCACAGGCATATGCTACTGCTGTGGCCACCCTAGATTCCAAGGATGCAAAAAATTGGATTACAGTATTTGTTCAACATCCTTTTCACTTCTGGTCTGAAGGAATATTTACACGCAAAGTCTTTTAAAAGGCTCCTGATATTCAGTGGGGTTTTTCTCCTTTTCTACTGTCCCATGTAGGGGTGTGCAACTTGTGACCCTTGGGCTACGTGCAGTTCTCAGCCTCATTTCAAAACTCCTTTGCAAAAAAACCCCCAGAACTTCTGGGAACCATTCTCATTCTAGCTGCATGGAGAAGAGGACAATGTGAAGTGCAAGAGAACAAAAAGTGTTAGGCTGTGAAACAGTATCAATGGATGGTCTGAGCCACCTTTGGCTCTGATCCTATCTCACTTTTTGCTTAAACTTCCCTATCTATATATGCTTCTTTCTAAAGACAGTTCCCAATAAATTGTACCTCTGGATAAAGTTTTTTCATCTTTAGTATAAAAGGACAACAGAACTTGGTTATTGCAACATGTAGCAATTGGTGGAAGTATTTTTAAAAATACTAGCAACTATTTATTGCAACCTGTTGTTATAGTTGACATTACTAAAAGAAAATCCTGTTTAATTCAATCAGAAGTGTGTGTGTGTGTGTGTGTGTGTGTG